CTTCTTCTTCTTCTTCTTCTTCTTCTTCTTCTTCTTCTTCTTCTTCTATCTTCTATCTTCTATCTTCTATCTATCTTCTTTCTATCATCTTCTCTCTATCTTCTCTCTATATTATTTTATTTCTTTTTCTTCTTCTTCTTTGTATGTATGTTCCAGCATAACTCTGGAATGCCTTGAGCAATTTCAACCAAACTTGGTACACGGACTTACCCTCTGAAAACAAATACTTTGGGAGGTAAAAGACACCCCTGATACCCCTTGGGGTGTGTGTATGCCTAAAAATGGCTTCTGCCACGGTAACGGCTTCACAGGGCTCCCTCTTGTGGAGGAATAGAAGAAATGCATGACAGACAGTACAACAGGATGAGTCCTGACAACAGGATTTTCCTGTCTAATACAGGATTGGGAAAAAGAAATATCTGGGCAATGCCAGGTTATCGGCTAGTGAAATATAAAACAGCCAACTAATCTCAAAATAAACTAAGGGAAACATGGTTCCTGAGTCTTAATAAAAGTGCAAATGACATTGTATTTGAGCATATAATTTATTATTGCGGGCGGGGTGGGGGCATGGTAGCACTCCCCTGGCAGTTGAAGGGGTTGTCACAGAGAAGAGGTGATTGATATATTCTCCAAAGCACCAGAGAGCAGGACAAGAAGTAATGGGTAGAGCCTTGTTAAAGAGAGAAAGTAAGGAGGAATGTTGTGACAATGAGAACAATTAATAATGAATTGCTTGCCTCCTTGGAGGTGTGTGTGTTCAATCACTGGAGTCCCAAAGGTGTTTTTTCAAGAGGCAACTGGACTTTCTGGTTTTGAAGACGTTTCACTTCTCATCCAAGAAGCTTCTTCAGCTCATTCTTCAGCTCAAGAAGCGAAACATCTCCAAAGAAAAAACAGAAAGGCAGTGTTCTAGGACCAACTTTTTTCATACTCTACATAAATGACCTCTGTGATCATATTAAGAGTAACTGCGTTCTCTTTGCTGATGATGTAAAGCTGTTCAATACCACAGACAATACTGCTACCCTTCAAAAGGACCTCGACTATGTATCAGAATGGTCAAACAAATGGCAACTTCAAATCTCAACAAATAAATGCTCTGTCCTACATATTGGCAAAAAAAATCAGAAAATAAAATACAGGCTGAATAGTCAAGACCTTGTTGATGATCCAAACTCTGTCAAGGATCTTGGGGTACTCATCTCTAATGATCTAAGTGCTAGAGCCCATTGTAACTACATAGCCAAAAGGTGTTAAGAGTTGTTAACCTAATCTTACATAGCTTTTTCTCTGGTAATATTACACTACTAACTAGAGCATACAAAACATTTGCTAGACCAATACTCAAATACAACTCATCAGTCTGGAACCCACATTACGTATCTGATATTAACACAGTTGAGAAAGTCCAGAAATATTTCACAAGAAGAGTTCTCCACTCCTCTATTCGTTGCAGAATACCTTATGCTACCAGATTCGAAATTCTAGACCTAGAAAACCTAAAACTACACCGCCTTCGGTCCGATCTAAGTACAGTATATAAAATCATACATTGCAATGTCCTATCTGTCAATGAATATTTCAGCTTCAACCATAACAACACAAGAGCAAACAATAGATACAAACTCAAGGTTAATCACACCAAACTTGATTGCAGGAAATACGACTTCAGCAACAGAGTGGTCAATGTCTGGAATACCCTACCTGACTCTGTGGTTTCTTCCCCAAACCCCAAAAACTTTAACCTTAGACTGTCTACTATTGACCTCACCCCTTTCCTAAGAGGTCTGTAGGGAGCATGCATAAGTGCACCAATGTGCCTACCGTCCCTGTCCTATTGTTTCTTTCATTGTTTTATTTCTCTTATATGTATCCATGTATTTATAACTATGTTTTTACTTATACCTATTATTTTGTAAGCAATTGACAAATAAAAAATAAATAATTGTTTTTAAAAAAGTCCAGTTGCCTCTTGAAAAACCATCTTCTGGACAACCATGACCTGGATGACTGAGAATCTCCATAGTCAATCACTGGAGGTTTTCAAAAGTAGACTGGACAAGTATTTGACTGGGATGTTATAAGGTCTTCTGCCCTGAGGAGGGGGTTGGACTAGAAGACCTCTGAGGTCCCTTCCAGCCCTAATATTCCATGTTCTATAAGAATAATTAAGGAGACTCCTTGGAATCCCAAAGGTGCTTTTTCAGGAGGCAACTGGACTTCCTTGGTTTTTCTTTTCTTTTGAAGATGTTTCGCTTCTCATCCAAGAAACCCAAAGGGTGGGGTGAACACTCTCTGAATGGTGTGGGAGTAGGAATGGATTTCCAGAGAAATAATTGCTGACTACAGGAACCAGGGGCACAACTCAGGTGACCCTGAGGATGCAGATAGACCTCCAAGTGGCCTCAATGACCCTCTGAAAGGGTGCAAATGGCCAGCTGTCTGCAAGGCATATAAATCCTTCCATTCCCCACCATCTTTGAGAGCTGAAGAAGCTTCCTGGGTGAGAAGTGAAACATCTTCAAAAGAAAAAAAAAACAAGAAAATCCTGAAAAACCACCTTTGGGTCAACCTGGATAACGGAGAATCTCTACAGAATTCTTGGGATATTCACCTTATCTCACTTTCAAGTGCTGTGAACAATGAAGCGCAAGACAGCCAACTAATTTTAAAGTCAACAAAGGGAGACATGGTCTCTGAGCCTTAATAAAAGTGCAAATGCTCAAATACAATATCCTAATACCATATGATAAAAAAAATATTTTAACACATTGATGGAGATTCTCTACAATCATCCATTTTGGCACCGTGACCATATATCCTACACCAGGGGTCTCCAAACTTGGCAACTTTAAGATTTGGGGACTTCAACTCCCAGAATTCCCCAGCCAGTGTATTGTATGAACATAATGTGAGGGTTAGCGTTCCTTTAGTTGCTGAGATTAAAAAACTGCTCTGCCTTAAAAGCCCGTTAGATAAGCTGGAACTCCAGATCCCAGAGTTCTGTGCGCCGGCTGGGGGTTCCGGAAGCAGCAATCGAAGGGGCCTCTACTGTTTTTGCTACAGTACTGCATCTGAGGCGCTCTCGCGTTTTAAGGACAAAAGGCCCTTCACGGCTACCGTATTGCGCCGCCCAGCGAAGGACCCACGTTGCCGGTACAGAAGAACGTGCACCGTCCGCCGTCATGGCCGCTCGCCATAACAACAAGCTGCCGTTCAACCTGCCGCAGTTGCAGAACTTGATCAAGCGGGACCCGCCGTCATATACCGAGGAGGTGAGGAATTGCGGGGGATGGCGCGGCGGCGGCGGCATCCTGCTGTCTCCACTCGAGGATAGCCTGGAGAGTGGTCAAGCGTCAAGTGGGGGTTGGACTAGAAGACCTCTTAAGGTCCCTTCCAACTCTGCTATTTCTGTGTGGTGTTAGAGCCTGACGGTGTTTGCAGCTGAAATAGGAGCGGGAAAGACGCCTCTGAGCGTATGCAGAGAATGGCTTGAGCAATGGGCCCTATGCAACGAAGTAAAGTTTAACGAGGAGCAAAGCGAAGTTTTACCCCCCCTGGGCAGGAGAAAACCAAAGGGACAAGTACAGATTAGGCGAAACCAGGCTCAAAAACAGTCACTGGGAGAGAGACCTTGGAGTCCTAGTGGACGATCCCTTAAACATGAGCCAGCCGTGTGCGGTGGCAGCCCCAAAAGCTAATACAATCCTTGGTTGTATAACCCAGGGGTCCCCAAACTTGGCAACTTTAAGACTTGTGGACTTCCACTCCCAGAATTCTCCAGCTGGCTGGAGAATTCTGGGAGTGGAAGTCCACAAATCTTAAAGTTGCCAGATTTTGAGACCTCTGGTATAAACAGAGGCATAGAATCAAAACCACGTGAAGTATAAATGTTCCGCTTTATAAAGCCTGGGTAAGGCCACACCAGCAATGCTGCGTCCAGTTTTGGTCACCACATTACAGAGAAGATGTTGAGACTTTGGCAAAAGTGCTGAGAAGAGCAACTAAGACGATTAAAGGCCTGGAGGCAAAAACATATGAAGAATAGAACAGAAGGGAATGGGAAATGGAATTCCTTATTGGGCCAAGTGTGATTACACACCCAAGGAATTTGTCTTGGTGCAAATGCTCTCAGTGTACATAAAAGATACATTCATCAAGAATCATAAGGTACAACACTTTCTAATGGTCATAGGGTACAATAAGCAATCAAATCATACTAGGAAACAATATAAATCGTAAGGATACAAGCGACAAAGTTACAGTTATTCAGTCACAAGTGGGAGGGGATGGATTTGATGGTTGCATG